CAACTTCTGTAATAGCCAGCCTAAGTTTAGGCTGTCATGGGCATCCTGCCATCAATTCCTGTCATCACTCAACTGTCCACTTCAGTTTGTTTACCTGTGCCGCTCTGAGGTCATGGGGTGGTGACGATCAACTTTGGTCGCGAGTGATCGGCATTAGTATGGCTGCACTAAGAAAATATATTTTGAAGGTACTACTTATAAAACTGAAGCGCCTGTGCAACCATTGTCAGCAGTGTCGGACGCTATCAGGATCGATATGCACTTATCAGAGGTTAGATGAGGCTGAGTCGAACGGCAACTGAGCTACTGCAGTCACAAGAGATGAAAACTACTATTACTACGCATGTAAAGTTCCTTAGTCCGCGGCACAGTTGGCGCTTCGCTTTGGAACCACTGCAATTATTCGCCTTTTCACTTAGATGGACGGTATGCTTCGTAATTGGTTAGGTACAAAATGGTGCTAGTAGGACGAAGAACACAGCATATGCTATGCCTGAACATGCCTCTCACACATCTGCTTCATGATGAATAGAACAGCTGGATTTTGGCAAGGGTATTCTCCAGGAAATGATTAGCCGCTGTAGTTACCATGAAGAAGAGTTCTGAGGTACACATCAAAATGTCAGTGCTGTTTAACCTTAATAGGTAATTTTCTGCTGTTTTACACAGGGTCGTTAACCGTTTCAACACCGTTTACACAGTCTTCGATAACAGAACATTTCCGAAAGTTAAAAATCAGAAACATTCTATGTAAATCCCGCGGCAATAAAACACAGAGTCTACTAGCGTCCAACATTATGTAGAACATGGGAGATTCCTAGATATTACGGGGTGACAGTTACCCATGAGGCAGCTTAACATGATTAGTTCGCACTCCCACATGTGTAGAAAGTCAAACCGATATGATATGACAAGTGCAAGCCGGCACTTAGATGATCAGCCGTCCACGGCAACGAAAAGCGACCATAGATAAAGAATTTACCACAGCATTCCTGAGCTCAAGGGTGAAAAAGACGAACTGCTTCGAAGGGTCGAGCAAAGCAACCAATAAACCGTCTGCAGCGAGCTCAGTGCGGAATTTCAGATCGATGCTGGTCAGTCCGGTTCCGAAGACATAATCTAAACACCGAAAGGCATGTGAATCACGCAAGGAGTTGTGGCACCATTTACGACGTACCGAATCGCATGTAGTTAGACTTCCTGGCGTATATGCCAGGGCTGAAATTGCTTCGACAAGGTGAAACATTTTTGCCTTTAAGAGCAAGCAGGTCTTTTACTTCGCCGTTGAAAACGAAATTTTTGACGCACCCAATGAAACCGGTAATGCCCTTGAAAGCGGCGGCGACAATGACGAAAAAATAGGCGAAAGGGGAAAGAAGTGCAACGCTTACCATTTCGGACTGAGCTGCTAGCTTCTTCGGTATGCCACCGATCAGCAATCCGCCACCTGCTTTCAACGTAAGGCTTCGAGGCAGATTTTTCAGGTACTTTGCCGGATCGTTGTCCAATTGGAATGACATTTGCCTGCCTTGTTTTATAACAGATAAACTGTGCCATTGGCCGTCGTTCAACAACACATCGCTGTCCGAGTCGACAGGTGATGTTGTGTTCATCTTGTGGCCACGTATTCTGACAAACAGCCGACCGTCGATCAACAGGATCATAATGAACTGCGTTAACTTCTTGTTCGTCCACGCAAGCAACGCTCCGGACGCTTCAACCGTTTGAAACTCAAGCGACACTATGGTGCTGAAACAAAAAACCTGGGCCTTCAGTTGTTAAACGGGCGAAGATGAAACAGGAATTCTGACTTTAAACCTTTCGCTACAAGGCAAAGGACAGTTACAGTAAAAAATTTAAAAACTTAGCCAAAGATGTGTAACGCGCATAGCGCTGTGTTACAAATTGACACCTCCGACCGTCTCTAATTGCGATCAATACAATAGCCTGGCAAACGCAACAGGCATATGTCGAACACAGAACCACAAACAGGACCGACAGCGGCGCAAAGGACGGCTGTATCGTACACAAATTAATAAAGAACGACCACCACGGAAGACTGCCACAGGTCGGAATCGGTATTGCAATTGAAATAGTATTCGCTGTAAGTGACTAAACGTGCAGTCTGTGAAAACTGTTGTGCGTAAAGAATGAACGAAAGCTACAGATACTTACAAAATTGCAAAAGTTTATATATTCTTATCTGACCATTACAAACATAAAATTCTGAACCAGCATATGACATCGCCCATATTGCTTCCTTAGCGAATCATACAGTCAAGATATATCTTCATAACATTTTAGTCCCAGCAGCGCACAGTTGCATTTTTAGAGCAATACCCAGATCATAAGTTTTAGGAGCTGGTTTACTGATATGCTTTAGCAAATCGTCAAGAAATATGCATTGGTAGACATGAATGGGCCACTAAGCACAGATATTTCAAACCTGTCTTACGGTGTTGTAGGCTAAACAAGCTGACAGAGCGCTATGTTGTAGGTCCGTTTTGCTATTTTTAGCCGCCCGCACGCATAAGCAGCCAGATGCGAGCGGCGACGGCAGTTTTGTGACAATGGAAACTGCCGCCATGATACGGAAAAAACTTTTGCTCAAACAAATTTAATTTCTCAGAATATACGAACTGTTTACATCATGGCAACAATGCTGCTGTGACCACAGGTCCTATTGTGTGACGTCGGCAGATACTGTTTTAAAAGCATGTTCTCAAAAACAAATTTGCACAAAGG